TGTTTACTACTCTGTTGGACTGTGCTCTGGTCTGTGAGCTATCACATGCACTCCTTTCTGTCCTGGAACTGTGACCAGGGTTCTCACTCCCCTGGGGTTTACAAACTTTGATATGCTAGTGCTTGTGTTCCTCTTTGCCCTGGGACTAAAACCCCCCCAGGACTGTCATTCAGATTTGAGTATGGCAATGCAGCAAGTCCTGAACTCAGTGCCAGCAAAGGGATCCCAGTAATCTCCTTCGTTGTCTGACTTTCTTATTGTCTGTGGGCTGAGAGCACCAGGAGCCTCTGCTACTGTCACTGATTCAGTCACCCCAAAGGCCTCTGCTGGTTTGCTGGGGCAGGGCCTGTACTGGCTGCATTAGTACTGAACAAACTTCCACTCTCACCCTAATGTGACTGACATTTCCTATTGATCTTCTAAATTGTGTTGGGCTGGAAAATTGTTTCACCTTGTCCTTTTGTGGATTCTGCCACTTTTTTATTTTGAGGTATTATTTAAAGATATTTGGAGGGGAATTTGGGAGAGCTTAGGTAAGTCCTTGCTTTTTCTCTGCCGCCTTGGCTCCACCCACAAACCTCTCACTTTTGTAGAGGAGTGAGATGGGGGTATCTTCTCATGTTTGTTGTTTGGTGCTATACTTTTGTTTGTAATTTTGAAACATTCAGTTTTAATTATGTTGTGGTTCTTTCCACTTGCATTGTTATGGTCATTGGGTATTTTCTTGGCTCTGCTTATTTCGCTCTGAATCAGGTTATATAAATCTTTCTGTATTTCTCTATAGTCATATTTGTTGTCTCTGACACACAGTAATACTGTGTTATATTTATGTACTACAATTTATTTTTCCATTCATCATTTGATGAGCATATACTTCCAGTTCTTTGCAGTTATAAAAAGTTCTGCTAACAATATTTTGGTATGTATAAGGGCTTTCTTCTTATCAATGACTTCCTTATAAGCCTAGTAGTGTGGAATCTCTGAGTCAAAGGGTATGACTTTTTTTTCTGTTTGGCTAGGCATTGGGGTTAAGTGACTTGCCCGAGGTCACATAGCTAGTAAGTGTTATGTGTCAGAGGCCGGATTTGAATTCAGGACCTCCTGAATCCAGGGCTGGTGCTTTATCCACCGCACCACCTATTTGCACCTGTATGACATTTTTGGCACTTTGCATCATTCCAAATTTCTTTCCAAAATGATTGTGTAATAGCTCTGTTAATAATGCACTCATGTGACTGTCTTCTCAAAACTCCACCAGTACTGGCAATTCTCATCTTTTATTTTCTTTGCCAGTTAATTTACTGAGCACGAAATGAAACTTCTGAGTTATGTCAATTTGCATTTCTCTTATTATGAGTGATTTGGAGCATTCTTTCATATAGTTGTTAATAGTTTGCAACTCTTCTGAGAACTGTTTGTTCACAACCTTTGACCACTTATCTATAAACTTTATATATATGTGTATATATACATATATATATATGTATATACATATACATACACACACACATACACACACACACACACACACACACACACACATAAATTCACATATGCATTCTGGTTTTCTATATGTTTTGCATACTAAACGGTTATCTGAAGAATCTACACCCAAAAAACTTGTTAATGAAAATCTGTGTCCAAATTCTTGTATGTGTTTGGATAAATAGTTCATAGGGCTTATTCATGTGTAAATATAATTTGTTTAGACATTATAGAAGGATTGTATGTTATCCCCATATTTAAAAAGGTGGAAGAGAATAGAATGGATTATGCTTGAGATATTGCAACAACCTCTAGCTTTTTCTTGAATTTAAAACATATTTGTTAAACATCAATATTCTGGTCTCGGTATGTATCTTGAAAACATAAAATTGTACAATAACTAAAGAATCAAAATTATGAGTTACCAATCAATTAATCACCCAACATTTCTTTAGCACTTACTATGTGCCAGCCACTATGCTAAGTTCTGGGGTTACAAAGAAAAGCAAAAACAGTTTCTGGTCTCAGAGAACCCGTGTTCTAATGGGGGAGATGATTAACAACTATGTCCAGCTAAGATATCTACAGGGTAAATTGGAGGTAATCTCAGAGGGAGGACCTATAACATTGATAAAACACTAAAAAAGTCTCCTTGGAGAATATAAGATTTTTGATTAGACTTGAAGGAAGCTGGGGAAGTCATGAGATAGAGATGAGGAGGGAGAGAATTCCAAGGAATTGGGCGTAACCCTATGCAAAGGCACTGAAACAGAAGATGGAATATCATATTCAGAGACTAGCAGGTAGATAGATCATAGAGGCTATGGAGGGGAGAAAAATGTAAGAAGACTGGAAAGATAGGAAGGGTTGCACCTTGTAAAGAGTTTTAAATGCTAAATAAGAGATTTTACATTTGATTATGGGTGTAATAGGGAGCCATTGAATTTGAATAGGAAGGTGAAATGGCCAGAACTGTACTTTAGGAGCATCACTTTAGCAGCTGAGTAGAGGATAAACTGCAGTGATGGAGAGACTTGAAGCAGAGAAATCCACCGGTGTGCTAATGAAAGAATCCACTAGGGTAAGATGCTGAGAGCCAGCACCAGGGTGACTGCTGTGTCAGAGAAGAGAAGGGGATGTGTCTAAGAGATGTGACAATGCTTGGCAACAGATTAGATTTAGGGATTGAATTAAAGTGAGCAGTTGACAATGACACCTAGATTGTAACCCTGGGTGAACTTATGAAAAGGAGAGGATTTGGAGAGCATAATGATGAGTTCCTTTTTTGACATATTGATTTAAGATGTCTAGGGGATAGATAACCAATTTGAAATATCTAGTAGGTAGTTGGAGATGTGAGACTAAATGTCAGGAGAGCATAACTTAGATAAATACTAGACTAAATAAATAGATCTGGGAATCATCATGTAGGAAGGAGAGAAAAAGGACCAAGATAGAGCCTTGGGGGATACTCATAGTTAGCGGGCACAACCTAGATAAAGATCCAGTAAAGGAGTTTAAGAACTGTTTAAGAACTGTTCAGATTAGATAAAACAGAAAAAAGCAATAATCTGTAAGACCACAAAATATCCTAAATAGATATGTGATCTTAACATTAAAAAAAATTAAAAGTAGCACATCATATTCCTTTTTGTGGTTATGAGTAGGAGATGTATTCTTAACCAGAAAAGAGATAGATAAAATTACTGAAGACAAAATCCTTAACTTAGAAGAGTAGAAGAGTAAAAGGAAGGCCAATTTTTGAATTTGATAGTTCTTTTTTTTTTTTCCTGGATACTGGTTTTTTATCTTTTTTTCTATGCTGATGTCCTTTTTTTCAAATAAGAAGTTACGGTCATTCATGTGCTGATATACACACACACACACACACACACACACACACACACACACACACACACTCACACACACACACACACACACACACACACACTTAACAGAAGTTATGGTCATTCGTGTGCTTATACACATACACATATATATTTAACAGTTGGTTCTCTGAGCCAGCTAGGTGGCACAGTGGATAGAATGCTGGAAGATCTGAGTTCAGATTCTGAGACACTTAATTCGCTAGGTGACCCAGGCAAGTAACTTAACCTCTGTTTGCCTCAGTTTCCTCAACTGTAAAATGGTGGTAATGATATTATTTACCTCATAGGGTTGTTGTGAGGATCAAATGAGATAATATTTGGAAAGACTTAGGACAGGGCTTGACACATATTAAGCACTTAATAAATGCTTATTTCCCTTCTTCCTCTCTGATAAAGAAATCCACTCAGCACATTTTTAAAATTTTAATTTATTAACATTTTCTCCATCACTTTCTTAAGTCTAGACAATAAAAACAAATTGTTCCCCCATTTGAAACATTGACGATTTTTGAGGTGAAAATGCCCACACTGAAAATTTAACAGGGTGCTGACTCTTGGAAGCAGGTTCAGGTTGGCTGTAGTACTCCCTTGCATATAGTGATTAATCTTTTGCTGCTGGAGTATGATGAAAAGGATCAGTGGGAGACCAGTGTTTTTTCCCCATATTTCACCTGTCTACTGATTATAATTTAGAGAAATTTCTAGTAGTTCTGTTTCAGATTCAGCCTGGAGGCTTTCACTAGAAAGAAACCCACTCTTTGGTGATTACTGTGATGCCCACTCTTATTTTGATTTGTTTTATGATTTGTTATTTTTGTTTGTCCAGTTATTTTTCTGTCGTGTCTGACTCTTTTTGAGTCGAGGAGTTGACTTTGGGGTTTTTCTTGGCAGAGATACTGGAGTGGTTTTCCATTTTTTCCTCCAGATGCGGAAACTGAGGCAAACAGGGTTAAGTGACTTGCTCTTGTTTAAATATTGCAAAATGCTACGTCAGAAGGGACCCCAAAACCTAGTCCAACCTATACTTGAATAGTAATGCCTTTAATAGTGTTCTGGGCAAGTGGTTATCCAGGCCCTACTTGAAGACTGCTTGTGAGAGAAAGAGAGAGCTCCATTACCTTCTGAGACAGCTCAGTCCACTTTTAGACGTATCTCTTAGGAAGTTTTTCCTTACCTGAGCTAAAATTTGTCTGTCTGCAACATGCATCCACTTAATGTTCTTATTTATGTCCTCTAAGACAAACAGAATAAATCTAAAACTCTCTTCCATTCTTGAGATCCATCTTGGTCACCCTCCTCTCAATGTTTTTAAATAGCAGTTATACAAATAATAATTCTTATATATTTTATGTACATAATATATATAATTCTTATATATTTTAATCTTTCTTTTTACAGTTCTATAAAGTTGATTGAGAAGCCACTTTTAAAAATTGCAATGCATATTTGTATATTTCCTTAGACATAATTAATATTTGCAATAAAAAATGTAATGAACAGTGAAGTGATACTACTGTGACCTTATGCATTTATTTTAAGAAATAGAAAGAGCTTATTACATTATTTCATTATAATTTTTTTTGTTTGATTTTGGTCTCTCTTCTCTCCCTTTTACCTCCCCCACAGGTTTTAATTCAGTGTTATCGCCTTATTGAAAATTTGGAGCAGCCTATGGTGGAACTAGATATCCTAGGATTAGGCACAGAGATTCAATTAAGAAGATTTGACATGAGAGCAAGTGCTTACCTGAAGGAAATTTGTTTAAAATGTCCAGCGTACCTGGGTATGATTCTATCTGATTTGTTTTGGGGGAAAAATAAGTAAAAATAAATTAATTTAATGATTACTATCGGGAAAATTCATAAGCTGCTAAAATTCTAGATTTAGAGATAAAAGGGTCCTTAGAGGTCATCTAGTTCAACTTCTGAACAGAACACTTACTTTGGAGTTGGAGAACCTACACTGAAAACTTGGTTCTCTCACTAGTTAGTTATGTGACCATTGACAACATACTTCTCTGTGTCGTATGTGAGTATCTAGAACAGAATAAATATAAAAGATGATGTGAAGGCAGAATTAACAAGACTTGGCAACCTTTTGGATTGTGAAGAGAAAGTGAAGAGTAAGGTTGATTCCTAAGGTTGTGAATCTATAGAAGACTTCCTGCTTTTTTTCATATTTGTTATCTTCAAGTTAAGTTATTCTTCTGCTTCTGCTTATTTCACTTGTATCACTTTGTTCAAATCTTCCCATGTTTCTTTGGATCTCTTATTTGTTATTTCTTTTAGTAAAATATTATTCCATTACATTTATATACTACAGCCATTTCTCAATTGATAGGCAGCTATTTTGTTTCCAGTTCTTTGCTATAACAAAAAGTACTGCTGTAAGTACTCTTGTACAAATGTGCCCTTAGCCTCCATCCTTGATCTTCCTATATATACCTAGTAATAGTATCTCTGGATCAAAGAGTAGTATGTACATTTTAGTGATTTGAGGGCATAGTTCAAATTTTTTCCAGAGTGATTGAAAACCAATTCACAGCACTCACTGATACATTAGTATACTAGTCTTCCCACAACCCATCCTAGAATTGCTCTGCTTAACCCTTTTAACACTATAGTTTATATCTTTCCTTCACCATTAGTGAGAAGGAGCTGAAGTCAGGCCTCAGCTAATAATTGATATTTTTGGAAGTAGTGCTGTCTAGGATATAAAGAGTCTCAGCTTTGTTCCATGCTTTAGGAAGACCGGGGGAGAAGTGTTTTGCCTAGACAGAGGCAAATAGGTGGAGACTCAGATAAGTAATTTGGAAGAAATCAATGGCTTTACCAGCTAGTTGTCGCCTCTTATCCCACCCTTCCTGTGGCCTGAAAATCATGTGTACAAAATTAGTCTTTTCCCTGGAACTATTACTAGGGTAAGGTGAGGATAGTATTGTGTCTTTCTTTTCCGCAAGAGCTATCAGACTTCTTGTTCTGCTTTTGTGACTGTCTTTTCCCTTTAAGATTGCCCTTGGTTTTCATTTGAACTTGATTTTGCAGTATACAGCTATTGAGAATTGTGCTAGGAGTAGAGCATATAATATTTGATTTAGGACTTAGACTTTCTAGAGATGATTCTGAATCTCCTATTCCTCTACAAATGTCTTGGGTAGCATTTGAAGAGAGATTATGTATGCCTTTTGCAAACATAATGCTTGCTCTATTATTTTTGGAAGACAGTTAACTGATTGCATAGTAGTCACAAAGCATACAAGGCCTGTTCCTTTTATTTGTAGTAGAACAAATCACAAGAAAGATTCTTGAGTAGTAGAGGGTTAGACACAGAGTACCTAGTGCATCAACTTCTTGTTCTTTAATAGCTTGCAGTATTCATGCTGCCATTCTTTTCTGCCTCCATCATCTTGGAGTGAATAGATGGGGGGACCTCAGGTTTTGAATTGGGGTTTTCACCAGTAGTGGTTGGCTGCTATATTCCCTATACATTTCTCTAAGTTACCCTTTTAATCTGATAAGCTTTAGGCAAAAACATTCCTCTTTCTCAAAAGAGTTGAGTCAAGGATCAGAAATTTAGAGCTGATGTGAGAACTCGGAGCCATCTAGTCCAATCTCCTTATTTTACAGATGAGGAAACAGAGCCATGGAGGTACAAATGGACTAATTTGTAGGAAGGTAGTAAGCATCAGAGGTGGAATTTGAACCCAGATGCTCTGAATCCAGAGCCTTTCCACTATATCATATTGCCTCACTGCAGTGTTCTGTTGTGTTACCTCAATTTAAATTTCTAGTAGTCAGCTACGATCTGTTGCACTGATTTTCATTCTTAGTATCGAAAATTCATCTTCTTTTGTCATGCTCCCACCACTTTTAAAAAGTTATCTGTAGATAGTGTGTTATGTGAATAACAAACTGAAAACAGCATATAGCTAGGCACATAATTGGCACTTAACAGATACTTATTGATTGGTGAACAAAAACAAACTTACAGCAAAATTAATTTGATGCATATTTGTCAGTAAGTATTTATTAAACACATTACTTGTCAAGACATAGTACAGGTATCTTAATGGTATCTTTTATTGACATTTTCTTTCCTTTTTTTCTTCTTTTTATTTTATTTATTTTTAGTTTTCAACATTCACTTCCATAAGATTTTGAGTTTTACATTTTTTTCCCCTTACTGCTTATTTCTTCCCCCCCCCCCCATACGGTGTACAGTCTGATATAGGCTCTACATATACATTCGAGTTAAGCACATTTTCCCATTAATCATGACGTAAAGAACAATTAGAACTAATGGGAGGAACTACAAGAATGAAGCATTAAAACAGAACAACAAAGGACAAGGAGATCAAATAGCATGCTTCCATCTGCATTCAGACTCCATATTTCTTTCTCTGGATGTGTATAGCATTTTCCATCATGAATGTTTTGGAGTTGAAGTCTGGCTGCTCATCCTTTCTTATAGAACAATAATATTCCATTATATTCACATACCATAACGTGTTCAGTTGTTCCCCAATTGATGGGCATCCCCTGAATTTCCAATTCTTGCCCACCACAAGAAAGAGCTGCTATAAATATTTTTGTACATGTGGATCATTTTTTTTTTATGATCTCTTTGTGGTACAGACCGTGGAGTTGTATTGCTGGATCAAAGGGTATGCACATCTTTATAGTCATTTGGGCATACTTCCAAATTGCTCTCCAGAATGGTTGGATCAGTTCGCAACTCCACCACAATACTTTAATGTTCCAATTTTCCCACATCTTCTCCAACATTTATCATTTTCCTGTTTTGTCATGTTAGCCAATCAGATAGGTGTGATGTGGTGCCTTAGGGTTGTTTTGATTTGCATGTCTCTAATTAATAGTGATTTAGAACATTTTTTTCCATGTGAGTATAGATAGCTTTAGTTTCCTCCTTAGAACTGCCTGTTCATATCCTTTGACTCTTTATCAGTTGGGGAATGACTTGTATTCTTATAAATTTGACTCAGTTCTCTGTATAGTTTAGGAATGAGGACTTTATCACAAACACTGATTGTAAAAATTCTTTCTCAGTTTTCTGCTCTCCTAATCTTGGATGCAATGGCTTTATTTGTACAAAAATTTTTCAATTTAATATAATCAGAATTGTCCATTTTGCATTTCATAATGTTCTCTATCTTTTGTTTGGTTATAAATTCTTCCCTTCTCCATAGATCTGAAAGATAAACTATTTCGTACTCTTCTGGTTTGCTTATAGTATCAGTCTTTATATCTAAATCATATACCCATTTTGACTTTATATTGGTATGGGGTGTAAGATGTTGGTCTGTGCCTAGTTTCTGTCATACTATTAGTTCCAGTTTTCCCGACAGTTTTTTGAATAGTGAGTTCTTACCCCAGAAGCTGGAGTCTTTGGATTTATCAAACAGTAGATTGCTATAGTCATTGACTGTTGTGTCTTGCATACCTAACCTTTTCTACTGATCCACCACCCCATTTCTTAGCCAGTACCTAGTAGGTTTTTTTGGGGGGGTTTTTTTGGCTTTTAGGCAATTGGGGTTAAGTGACTTGCCCAGGGTCACACAGCTAGTAAGTGTCAAGTGTTTGGTCTGAGGCCGGATTTGAACTCAGGTCCTCCTGACTTCAGGGCCGGTGCTCTATCTACTGCGCCACCTAGCTGCCCCCATACCTAGTAGTTTTGATGATTGCCACTTCACAATACAACTTAAGATTTGGTACAAGTAGGCCACCTTCCCTTGTATTTCTTTTCATTGATTCTTGATATTCTGGACCTTTTGTTCTTCCAGATGAATTTTGTTATTGTTTTTTTTAGCTTTGTAAAATAATGTTTTGGTAGTTTGATTGGTATGGCACTGAATAAGTAAATTAATTTAGGTAGAACTGTCATCTTTATTTTTAATTAATTAATTAGTTTATTTTTGGTGAAGCAGTTGGGGTTAAATGACTTGCCCAGAGCTACACAGCGAGTGAGTGTTATATGTTTGAGGTTGGATTTGAATTCTAATCCTCCTGACTCCAAGGCCGGTGTTCTATCCACTGCATACCTAGCTGCCCTCTGTTGTCATTTTTATTATGTTAGCTCAGCCTACCTATGAGCAACTGATATTTTTCTAATTAGTTAGCTCTGACTTTATTTGTGTGAAAAGTGTTTTGTGATTGTGTTCATATAGGTAGATTCTCAAATATTTTATAGTGTCTATAGTAATTTTAAATGGAATTTCCTTTTCTGTCTCTTGCTGCTGGACTTTGTGATATATAGAAATGCTAATGATTTGTATGGGTTTATTTTATATCTTGTAATTTTGGTAAATTTGTTTATTATTTCAAGTAATTTTTTATATAATTCTCTAGGATTCTGTATACCATCATATCATCTGTAAAGAGTGATAGCTTTGTTTCTTCTATGCCTATTCTAATTACTTCAGTTTCTTTTTCTTCACTAATTGCTACAGCTAACATTCAATATTGAATAACAGTGGTGATAATGGACATCCTTGATCTTATTAGAAATACTTCTGACTTATCCCCATTGCATCTGATGCTTGCTGATGGTTTTTGATAGATACCTAGCTATCATTTTAAGGAAGACTCCATTTATTCCTATACCTAGTGTTTTTAATAGGAATGGCTGTTGTATTTTTTCAAATGTTTTTTCTGCATCTGTTGAGATAATCATATGATTTCTGTTAGTTTTGTTGTTGATATGGTCAACTATGCTGACAGTTTTCCTAATATTGAACCAGCCCTGCAATCCTGGTATAAATCCTATAAATACCTGGTCATAGTGTATTATCCTCATGATAAGTTGTTGTTATCTCTTTGCTAATATTTTATTTAAAATTTTTGTATTTATATTTGTTAGGGAAATTGGTCTGTAGTTTTCTTCCTCTGTTTTGGCTCTTTGTGGTTTAGGTATCAGTGCCGTATTTGTATCATAAAAAGAATTTGGTAGGACTCCTTCTTCACCTATTTCCCCAAATAGTTTATATAGTATTGGAATTAGTTGTTCTTTAAACATTTGATAGAATTCACTTGTAAATCCATCTGACCCTACAGATTTTTCCTTAGGGAGTTCATTGATGTCTTGTTCAATTTCTTTTTCTGAAATGGGGTCGTTTAGGTATTTTCTTTCCTCTTCTGTTAATCTGGGCAATTTGTATTTTTGTAAATATTCATTCATTTTACTAAGATTGTGAAATTTATTGGCATACAGTTGGACAAAATAGGTCCTTATTGTTGTTTTGATTTCTTCTTCATTAATGGTGAATTCACCCTTTTTTTTTGATGCTGGTAATTTGGTTTTCTTTCTTTTTTTAATCAAATTAATCAAAGGTTTATCTATTTTATTGTTGTTTTTTTACCCCACAAAACCAGCTCTTAGTTTTGTTTATTAGTTAAATAGTTTTCTTAATTTCAACTTTCTTAATCTTTCTTTTGGTTTTCAGAATTTTTAATTTGATATTTAATTGGGGATTTTCAAATTGTCCTTTTTCTAGCTTTTTTAGTTACATGCTCAATTCATTGATCTCTTCTTTCTCTATTTTATTCATATAAGCATTTAGAGATATAAAACTTCCCTTAAGGACTGTTTTTGCTGCATCCCATAAGTTTTGGTATGTTGTTTCATTGTCATTCTCTTGGATGAAGTTATTGATTGTTTCTATGATTTATTGTTTAACCCACTTATTCTTTAGGATTAAATGATTAGTTTTCAATTAATTTTTAGTTTTTCTTTCGATGCCCATTTATTACACATAATTTTTATTGCATTATGGTCTGAAAAGGATGCATTTAGTATTTTTGCCTTTCTGCTTTGGATTGTGAGGTTTTTAGGCCCTAGTACATGGTTTAGTTTTTGTGTAGGTGCTGTGTACTACTGAGAAAAAGGTATATTTCTTTCTGTCCCCATTTAATTTTTACAGAGGTCACCCATATTTAACTTTTCTAAGATTCTGTTGATCTCCTTAACTCTTTCTTGTTTATTTTGTGGTCAGAGTTATCTAGTTTTGAAAGGAGGAGGTTGAGGTCCCTTACTAGTATAATTTTGCTGTCTATTTCTTCCTGTATCTCCCTTAACTTCTCTTTTAAGAATTTGGCTGCTGTACTGCTTGGTGCAAATATGTTTAGTAATGATATTACTTCATTATCTGTGGTACCTTTCTATTTTTGCTTTTGCTTTGTCTGAGATTAGGATTGCTACCCCTGCTTTTTTTATGTCAACTGAAGCATAATATATCCTGCTCCATCCTTTTATCTTTACTCTTGTGTATATCCCTCTGCTTCAAACATGTTTCATATAAGCAACATATTGTAGGATTATGGTTCTTAATCCACTCTGCTATCCATTTCTGTTTTATGGGAGAGTTCATCCCCATTCACATTCACAGTTATTATTACTATCTGTGTCTTTCTCTCCATTCTGTTCCTCTTCCCCCTTGTTTATGCTTTTTTCTTTCCTTTTCCCTCCTCAGTAGAGTTTTGCCTTTGACTACCACCTCCCTTAGTCTGCTCTCTCTTCCCCTCCCTTTTCTTTTCCCTTTACCCTTTCTACTTCCTTTAGGGTGAGTCAGATTTCTATACCTAACTGATTATGTTATTCACTCTTTGAACTAAATCTGATGAGAGTAAGGTTCAAACAATGCTCATCTCCTTCCCTCTACCATATTTGGTTTTTGTGCCTTTTCATGTAATGTAATTTATCCTTGTCTGCCACCTCCTTTCTTCTTCTCCTAATACAATTCCTTTTCATCACTTAATTAGATTTTTTTACCATCACAACAAAGTCAATTTAAACCCAAGCCCTCTATGTATATAACCTTTTAAATGTCACAAAGATGTTACAGTTCTTAAGATTCAGAAGTGTCATCTTCCCTTGTAGAGATGTAAACAGTTTGCCCTTAATAATAATATATTGTGTGTTTTTTTCTTTCCTGTTAGCCTTTTTATGCCTCTCTTGAATCTTGTATTTGAAGGTCAGATTTTCTGTTGAGCTTTGGTCTTTTCATCAGAAGGGTTTGGAAGTTCCTATTTCATTGAAAATCCATCTCTTCCCCTGAAAGATTATGCTCAGTTTCGCTGGGTTTGACGTTTTCTTTAATGTGTTCTCCAAAGCGTGCTCTGACAGGTCTTACCAAATTAGATAAAAGCTTTGCATATGGACCTGAGGATGCTGTTATTTGAGAAACTAAGCTGGCTGTATCAGGAGAGACTCATCACCAGGTTGATCATAGGGGTGATGATTTTTTGTGCACTAGTAATTACAGGTATTCGAAATATAAGAAGTATTTAATGATTATGTGTGTGTGCACATATGCACAAAATCATTGATTTATAGAATCATTTGGCATAATTGATAATCAATCTGTTCATGGATATGACTTATTAGTATTAATTTCATAGTCTAAGGCTTTTTTTTCTTTTCAGTTTTTCTCTTTAATTCTCCAGTATTAGTAATTAGTAATATACATATTACATTACTCATCACATACAAGTGCATTCATTGTATCTCTAACAGCTAGAGTTTCCTGTAGCTCTCTGCTATGTCTTCTTAATACTACAGAACTGAGGATCTCTTTGCCTTAATCACATAATATTTTTATACTACAATACTTACATGCCTGAAGGGTGTTTCATCAGTTCTTCCTGTTTTATCTATTCATGTAGAAGTGCTAGCTGAAGCTGAGTTAGAGACTCTAGCAAGAGGCTGTGGGGTAGCTCCTACCTAGGCTGAGGGTGATGTCAGAAAAATCAGTAAATGACACCATAAAAAATTAATTCTGAATCTCCTGAAACTTGGCATCCTGGACATAGGAGAAAGGTTAGGTGGGAGGAACTGACAAAGCAAGTTCCAGAGCCTGAAGCAGGCATATTTTCCTTCGTTTCCAGTATTCTCAGAAAATAGTATACCATCATAGAAGGTTAGTGTTCAGTAGCCCCATCCCTTGAGCTGTTTAAGTTGTATAGTACTCTTGTTATCTTAAACCCTATTTTTAACTGTTTTCCCATCTAAGGTAGTTTTTTTTTAAATTTGTTTTTAGATGAAAAGGGTAAACCAGTATACATTCTTACAACACTGGATAATGCAGTAGAAGATCTGCTAACGTTGGAATATGTTAAGGTAAATGATTATTGGTATATTTAGTTTAAGTGATGAAGGTGTAGTTAAAAGTTTGGTGTAAATCACTTTAAAAATCTGATCATATTATTCCTGAAATGATCATTTTTCTTTATTTCTAATTTTATTCAGTTATTTGTTATAGCTTTAACTTTTCCATACTTCAGCATCTTAACCAGTGAGCATTAAATGCTTACTGCATGCCAGACACCATTAAAGCACTAAAGATACAATTTGTAAAGAATGCAGTAATTTCAAGGAGCTTATGTTCTGATGGAGGATTCAAGAAGTACATATATTAAAGCAAATACAGCCTAAACATAAAGTGAATAATTACAAATGTGTTCAAAGGTGTTAAATACAAGGTAGTTTGGAGTGGAAGTCACTAGCATTTGGGGAGTTGGGGAGGAATCAAGATAGGATTCATGCAGAAGATGGTTCTTGAGCTGCATCTTAAAGGAAGAGAGGAACCTTATAATGCTGAGAAGGGAAAACATGTAATTCAGGAATGTGGGACATCTAGTGCAAAGGCCCAGAGATGGGAGATGAGTGACATGTGTGAGGAATAGAGAGAAGGCCAGTTTGTCTGGTTAGAAGAATAAAGGAGAGAAAGTAATATCCAATGGAAAATTTGAAAAATAGATTGTAGCCAAGTTGTGAAGAGCTTTAAAAGCTAAACAGAAGAGTTTATGTTTGATTCTAGAAACAGTAAGAAGCCATTGGAGCTATTTGAGTAGGAGAATGATAGTAAGGAAGAGTATTTTGGCATTAATGGATAGATTGTAATAGCTGAGAGACTTAAGACAGAGACCAATTGGGGACTTTTGCAGTAATCTAGTTTAGAGTTGATGAGGGCTTGAAGTAAGTTGTAGCTCTGTAAATATGTGTGTGTGTGTGTGTGTGTGTGTGTGTGTGTGTGTGTGTGTGTGTGTGTGTGTGTGTGTATGTGTGTGAGTGAGAGAGAGGGAGGGAGAAAGAAATGCGGAGGTAGAACTGTCAAGATTTGGCAACTGATTGAATATGTGGGGTATGGGAGGGTGAGGAGATGAGGGTAATGTCAAAGTTAAGAACCTGAGAGACAGAAAGGATTTGACAGAAATAACAAAGTGTAGAAGAGAGGACAATTTGGTGTGAAAGATAATTAGTTTAGTTTGAGACATGTTAAATTTGAGATGTCTCTGGGGCACAACTTGGGACATTTCCATTAGGCAATTGATGCTGCAGGATTGGAGCTCAAGGGAAGAGACTGGGCCAGTGTGTATGCATGTGTATGATATGCATATTACATTACGTATACATAAATGTACACACATACATATTTGCATAAATGTGTGAATCACCTGCATTTAAATGTGAGTTAAACCCATGTAGTTACCTACAGTGTGGAGGGCCTAGGAAAGAATGCTGGGACTTCATAAAATCAAGGAGTTTGAAACGACTCAATGAGAATTTGACCCACTCTCTCCATTTGTAATCTTATATTTTTGTAGAGTGGTTATTCATACAGTGGGGCTTATTTATATATTAACAGCGTAAAATTTACTGACTGTAGGATAAATGGAAGAGTAAATATTAGAATTAGATAAATAAAAGATTTTACTTTGTTTCAATGATAAATACATTCCGCTGTGGAATATTTTAAGGAGATCTTTTGATGTGTATTTTTGAGAATTTATATTTGCTCTAAGATAGTATTCAGATATAGGCTAAAGAGTAAGCTAATATACTCAACTAATGAATAGTGAACACTGATAATTTAGACAAATTTTAAAATCAGTAATTATTTGAAGTATTTACTAGTCCTTTTTTTTATTATCAATTTTGCCTTTTACAAAGGATGAATTAATAAATACTTATCCTGAATGATGTAGGTGTTTCTTAGTATTTTTCGTAAAACAAGAAAGGTAAAATTGTAGGTGTTTGGGAAAACTTTTAAAAATTGACTCTAAATGCTACGTTTTTTAGATGAGACTGATTTTTTTAGGCTAAAAGCATTTGTACAATTTATTTCATAATATCAACCAACATTAGCTTGCAAGTGGAAAATAATTGCCTTTTAAAAAATACTTTTGAAGGGCAGCTAGCTGGCGCAATGGATAGAGCACCGGCCCTGGATTCAGGAGGACCTGAGTTCAAATCTGGCCTCAGACACATAACACTTACTAGCTGTGTGACCCTGGGCAAGTCACTTAACCCCATTGCTGAAAATAACAACAACAACAACAGAAAAAGGGGGGGGCAGCTAGGTGGCACAGTGAATAGAGCACTGGCCCTGAAGTCAGGAGTACCTGAGTTCAAATCCTGTCTCAGACCAAACACTTGACACTTACTAGCTGTGTGACCCTGGGCAAGTCACGTAACCCCAACTGCCTTTAAAAAAAAAAACTTTTGAAAAGTATTGTTGATATAGTCGGTAGCAAATTGTAGGTCTGGAGAAATTATGTAGTATTTTGGTGCAATGGGGAATGGTTTTACTTTGAAATTTTGCAATTGATTATATAAAGATTTAGAATTACATTTTTAAGGTGTTTTTTTCATATACGCTATTTACTTTTCTCCGTAGTATCTATGTCCATAGATAATTACATAAACAAATGGAAAAACTTAAACTCATTACTTTTTGTTAGGGTTATAAATTGATTATCTATTCATATACCTCCTTTTTTTTCTTTGTATAGGCTGATACACATGGACCAGAACTTAAAACTGCTTATAAGAATATTGTACAGCTGTTAAAGGTATAGGTACATTATAACCACAAGAAAATAAAAGCCCTAAATATTTTCTGTTATGTTTCCAATCAGTTGTTTTTGGAAATGATTGTTCCTACTAGATTGTAAAGTGTGGAAGAACTTTATCTTATACTTTCAAAATTCCTTCCTCGTCCCCCTTAGACTTTTTTAACTCAGTAGATGCTTAATGAATATTTGTTGTTGATTAGATAATAATTAACTTTGGTTCATAGGTAAATTTTTCCTCTTTGGATATTCATTTGCATACTGAAGCACTTTTGAGTATTATGAATTTTATGAATAATCTCTTTCCTGGAAGAGAGGAAGAATTACCCTCAGAAAGTCAGGTTATGGAAACTGAAGACAAAGGAGAAATAATTAAGAAATTATGTAAGTTTTTTAAACTTCATTTCAAGTTTTATGTTAAATAGAGCAAAATATTCTGAACAATAACTTACTCAGACTCCATATTAATGGTATGTATTATTGTTAATAAAATTCTACCTGCTCTAAAATTTAAGTGTTAGGATAAATTCTAGATTGATCAGATATAAATTATTGTTGTTATTATTATTATTATTATTGTTGTTGTTATTCCAGACCTGTGATTTTATCAGTGTAGGAAACTTTTGGTATACAGATTCTTTGTACCCTATATACACTACACCATCCCACCTTTAGATATATAATTGATTGCTTTTGTAGGCTAGAAAAAATTTTAAAGATATAAAAAAGATGTAAAAAAACTTTCATGATTTAGACATAATTAGTAGACAATTTAAAGATTATGAGATTTTAGTTTTAGCAAATATCTGGTAGTAATTGATTCACACGTTTTATGATTTCTGCTTTGTTAACATGGTTTTTTGTTGTATTTTTAATGGAGACGTTTCTAAAACTACAAATTAGAGAAAGAGTTTACTTTCATATATATCTAAAAGGAAAAAATGGTAGTTTCCTTAGTTTGAGAATTCCTAGTATAATACTTCCTTTACCAATTTAGATCACATTCAAGCTATAATTTACCAGCTTAGAGAGCTGCCTGAGGATTTCAAATCCTAGGTAGTATGTCCATGTTCACATAAGCCCCAGAGGTGAAGTATGAACTTAGTTTTGTTTACTTCAAAGTTAGCACTATATTCATTGGATCATGTTGCTCTTCCACTTGAGTAATATCTCATTATTTCTTGACCTGATATTTTGCTATCCTGCTGACTTGACTAATTTTTAAAATAGTTTATTTTATTTAATAATTACATTGCATCTACAGCTGCTAAGGGATCTAGGACTGAAGATGTCATTACCCTAAAGGTCATTGCTGAACTGTCTTGCTTATGTATCTATATTGAAGACCAAAGATATAGAATTGCTGAAATTACAATTGAAGGTAACAAATTTTAACCAAAATTAAATTAAAAAATTTTAATTTGGAGCACAGATATTAATCAATACTTTTTTCCCCCTTAGGATTTGATTCCCAGGTGGTAATGAGACATACCATAACTGAAGTAAATGTGAACCTGAAAAATATAATTATTTTAGATTCTGATGAAATGGCCTTATATAAAAAGGTAAGAATATGTTTGTCCACTAACCGCAAACCATAAAAGTCAGTTTTAATTGATTTGCCTTTTACCATTTTGGCTTTGGGACTGTCTTTTGCATCTTTTTGTATTCTCAGGGCTCAGATAAATGTTTATTGATTGATAGGCATAATTTTTTTTTTTTTAGTGTGTGACTATGGAAATATGGTGTCCTCAAAACAAGTCCAGTTTTAACTGGAGTGCTACATTACTTGCCCATATAGGAAACTAGTTGTATTTTTTGGTACCTACACACCAGTATGGAGTAGTCAAAGGTAGACACACTTATTTCATACTCCTTAATCCTCATGGTAAGTTTAGAGCCTCTCATAACCACCCATAGATAATAAACAAGTCAGACTTGGGAATCTTATTCTGGCTTTCTCTGCCTTGGGGAGGCTATTATGACGCTGAGTCCACTCCAGAGTTTATGAACAGATGCTGATGGGCAAAGCAATTTGGAGATCTTCCTTCCTCTCTTTTACCAGTGTGATAACTAGTTTGTGGTGACTTTGGGTTGGTTTTAGCATTGTTTAGAGTCAGTTGAAATCCTGGATTTAGTGTGAGAAGAATAGCTATTCCAATTGTGCTATGGTTTTATAAGACCAAGAAAACTAGTTTTAGAGCAGAATGGATTTATTGAGAGAACCTCCATTCTTCTTGAGTTTAGTCTAGAGCCGTCTGGGATATTTGTTGGCTTTGCATGCTGTGCTGGGGACAGCAGCTATCTTCTCATACTGCTGTAAAAAGGACCATGAGGTTTAGTGCCTGGAAAGACAACATTGTGATCAGTCTCTATTAAATGTTTGGATGGTCTGATTTCATTATTTTAACAGTATTGATATTTTTCCTTTTTTATATCACCTTTATTTCTTTTTTTTACCCTTTTAAAATAATTAATATATTTTTAATTTTCAATATTCACTTCCATAAGATTTTGAGTTTTAAATTTTCTCTCCATCTGTCTCTCTCTTCTCCCCTCCCCCAAGATGGCTTGTAATCTGATATAGGCTCTACTTATACATTCATATTAATTACATTTTGACATTAGTCATGATGTAAAGAAGAATTAGAACTAATAGGAACCACAGGAAAGAAGAAACAAAACAACAGAAGGAGAGCAAATAGTATGCTTCCATCTTCATTCAGACTCACAAGTTCTTTCTCTGGATGTGGATAGCGTTTTCCATTGAGTCTTTTGAAGTTGTCTTAGATCCTTGCATTGCTGAGAAGAGCTAAGTCTGTCAAAATCAGTCATCACATAATGTGGTTGTTGCTGTGTGCAGTATTTTTCTGGTTCTGCTCATTTCACTCAGCATCAGTTCATATAAGTCTTTCTAGGTTTTTCTGAAATCTACCTGCTCATTTTTCTTTTTTTTTTTTTCTGGCCAGGGTCTCTTAACCTTTTTTTTTTAATTAAAAGGTTTTTTTTTTATTAATTTATTTTGATTTATCAACAATCACATAAATTTTTGAGTTTTAAATTTTTCTCCCCCTCCCTCCCGAAGACAGTGTGCAATCTGTTATAGGCTATACATATGCGTTCCTATTAAACATATTTTCACATTAGTCATATTGTAAGGAAGAATTAGAATCAATAGGAAGAACCACCAGAAAGAGGAAACAAAGTAAAATGGAAGAAAAAAATAGCAAATAGTATGCTTTGATCTGCATTCAAACTCCATAGTTCTTTCTTTCGATGTGGATAGCATTTTTCATCGTGAGACCTTTGGTGATGTCAGATCTTTCCATTGCTGAGAAGAGCTAAGTCTGTCAGCATAAGTCATCCCACAACATGGCTGATACTGTGTATAGTGTTCTCCTGGTTCTGCTCACTTCACTCAGCATCAGTCCATACAAGTCTTTTCTGAAGTCTGCATGCTTATCATGTCTTAGAGCACAGTTATATTCCATTACATTCATATTAACAGAAGAGGACTCCATGGAGGGAGCACTGGCCCCGAAGTCAGGAGGACCTGAGTTCAAATCCAGCCTCAGACTTGACACTTACTAGCTGTGTGACCATGGGCAAGTCGCTTAACCCCAGTTGCCTTAAAAAAAACAACAACCAGAAGAAGAAGTAAAATTCTTAAATAACCCCATTTCAGAAAAAGAAATTGGACAAGTCATCAATGAACTCCCTAGGAAAAAAATCTGCAGGGCCACTTAGATTTACAAGTAAATTCTATCAAACATTTAAAGACCAGTTAATTCCAATACTATATAGACTATTTGGGAAAACAGGTGAGAGTGTCTTTTTTTTGGTTTGTTTTTTGTTTTTTGCTTCTTGATGAGGCAATCAGGATTCAGTGACTTGCCCAGGGTCACACAGTTAGTAAGTGTCAAGGGTCTGAGTCCGGATTTGAACTCAGGTCCTCCTGATTCTAAGGCTGGACCTCTATCCACTGCACCACCTGGCTGCCCCTGAAGGCGTCTTAACAAATTATGATACAAACATTGTGCTCATACCTAAACTTGGAAGATTCAAAACTGAAAGAAAATTATGGACCAATTTCTCTAATGAATGTAGATGAAAAATTTTAGATAAAATATTAGCAAAAAGATTACAGCAACTTATCACTTAAATAATACACTATGACCAGGTAGGATTTATACCAGGAATATAGGGCTGGTTCAATATTGGGAAAACTATCAGCATAATTGATCATATCAGCAAGAAAACTAATAGAAACCACATGATTATCTCAATAGATGAAGAAAAAGCTTTTGACAAAATACAACACCCATTCCTATTAAAAACACTAGAGAGCATAGGAATAAATGGAGTCCTCCTTAAAATAAGAAGTAGAATCTACCTAAAACTTTCAGCAAGCATACATAATGGGGACAAGCTAGAAGCATTTCCAGTAAGATTGAAGATGAAACAAAGATGTCCATTATCACCACTGTTGTTCAGTATGATACTGGAAGTGTTAGCTTGAGCAGTAAGAGAAGAAAAAGAAATTGATGATATTAGAATAGGCAAAGAAGAAACAAAGCTATCACTCTTTGCAGATGATATGATGATATATACTTAGAGAATTCTAGAGAATCAAATAAAAAACTACTTGAAATAATAAACAACTTTAGCAGAGTTGCGGGCTATAAAATAAACCCACATAAATCATCAGCATTTCTATGTATTATCAGCAAAGCCCAACAGCAAGAGATAGAGAAATTCCATTTAAAGTTACCATAGACAGTATAAAATATTTAGGAGTCTACCTACCGAAACAAGCCCAGAAGCTATGTGAACACAGTTACAAAACACTTTTCACACAAAGTCAGATCTAAATAATTGGAAAAACATCAGTTGCTCATGGGTAGGCCAAGCTAATATAATAACAATGGCAATTCTATCTAAGCTAATTTAGTTATTCAGTGCCATACCCATAAAACTACCAAGAAATTATTTTATAGAGCTAGAAAAAATAATAATAAGATTTATTTGGAAGAACAAAAGGTTCAGAATATCAAGGTAACTAATGAAAAGAAATGCAGGGGAAGGTGGCTTAGCTGTTCCAGATCTTAAATTGTATTATAAAACAGCAATCATCAAAACTTCTTGGTACTGGCAAAGAAATAGAGTTGTGGATAAGTGGAATACGATAGGTATGTAAGACACAGTAGTCAATGACTGTAGTAATCTATTATTTGATAAACCCAAAGACCACAGCTTCTAGGATAAGTGCTTATTGTTTCATATAGCCCATTAATATTCCATTACATTCATCTACCACAGCTTGTTCAACCATTCCCCAATTCATGGGCCTACTCTCAATTTCCAACTCTTGGTCACCACAAAAAGAGCTACTATAAATATTTTTGTATATGTGGGTCCTTTTCCCATTTTTATGATCTCTTTAGGATACAGACCTAGAAGTATGTTGTGTCTTGCATACCTAACCTTTTCTACTGATCCACCACCCCATTTCTTAGCCAGTACCTAGTAGTTTTGATGATTGCCACGTCACAATACAATTTAAGATTTGGTACAAGTAGGCCACCTTCCCTTGCATTTCTTTTCATTGATTCCTTGATATTCTGGACCTTTTGTTCTTCCACATGAATTTTGTTATTTTTTTTTAGCTTTGTAAAATAGTGTTTTGGCAGTTTGATTGGTATGGTACTGAATAAGTAAATTAATTTAGGTAGAATTGTCATTTTTATTATATTAGCTCAGCCTATCCACGAGCAGCTTCCCCAAGCTTCAGGTTTTCCTTGCTTCTCTATTCATAGGTAGTTCTGGGGTTCTTTAAGTTTTCAGTTCTTCTGAGGTGCTATGATCTTTGGACAGGTATGGTAACTGCTCTCCTGGCTTGTGGTCTGTTGTATGAGTGACCACAAGCACTCTTTTCTGCCCTAGAACTGTGACCTAAGGTCCTACTCCCCTAAAGCTATGAGCTCTGATGTGCTTGTGCTTCTCCTTGCCCTGGGATTGTAATGATGCCTTGGACCCTGATCTTCATATTGTCGATGCAACAGAGTCCTGTACCGAGTGCCAGTAAAGGTTTCCCTCTAATCTCATTATGACCTGTTGTCTGACCCCATTGCTGTCTGTGGGCTGAGAGCTCTGGAAGCCATCTGATTGAGTCATCCCACACCTCTATGATACATTGTAAAGGCTCAGCCTACTGCTGGCTTGCAGGGATGATGCCTTCACCACACTGCACTCTCACCTCAGTGATACAGACCTTTCCTTGTCAGCCTTCTAGGTTTTCTTGGGGTGGAAAATTGTTTCATTCTGTCCTTTTGATCATTCTGTTACTCCAGAATTCATTTTGAGGCATTATTTTAAAGTTGTTTGCAGGAGAATTTGGCAAAGCTCAGGAGGGTCCTTACTTTACTTTGCCATCTTTGCTCTTCTCTCTGAGTGCTTTCCAGTATACTATTTTTCGATTGTTAATTTTCCTTGTCACTTTTAAGAGGTTATATTGCATGATAGAGACACTGTGCCTATTTATTAATTTGACAAGCTTTTATTAAGT